TTATGGCCACCTTTCACACTTTGTGGCTGGGATAAAGGAAGCAGATAGAAGAGCCTTTCAAGGACAAAAGCAACTCACCATCTCCTTTGGCAATCCCTCACAGTCTAGGACAATTGTCTTCCATAACTGCCTTATTTGTGAGAGTGAAGATAGCTGACAAGGCCCATCTGGGATCGAAAGACTTCACTGCAACTTGGGCAAGTTTCCCGGATTCTTGATTCAGACCGTCTCTGCCACACTCCCTTTTCCATCTCCTGATTTCATCATAAGATTTCAAAGTACTGATATCCTTGCAGCAGACTCTTCTGCTATTTGGAGTAGTCCTGGGTGATAGTCTTCCACGAGTTGATAGTCACAGACTGTAAGGCTGGAAGGGAGCTTCGAAGATCATCGGGTCCAGCCCCAAATTATTAATGTTGCATTTTTTCAAGTTAGCATTTCAAGTACATCCTCAAGGCCTTCTCTGCCCTCCTCTTCAGAACATGCCATGACTGAGCTAGGAGAATAAAATTTGCTTTGGGAGCCTGGAGTTGGACATCTGGATAACACGGCCAGCTCCGCAAAGTTGAAGTCAGATGAACTTTGCCTCAGTGCTCATGCTGTTTGCTTGTGAGGACATTGAAGTTGGTGCGTCTGTCCTTCCACTGGATTCAAAGGATCTTCCACAGGTAGAAGTACCATCAACACTGCAACTTGTGGACAACATACAGAAGACATCTCAGCTCAGCTCCATACCGTAAGGTGAGAATCACACCTGCTCGATTAATCATACACTTGGTTTTGGATCTGATGTCATGATCTTTGAACACCGGTTTCCTCAACTGTCTGAAGGCTGCACTTGCACGTTTGAGGTGATGTTGGATTTCTTTGATGTCAGCCTTCTGCAAGAGATGTCTGAGGTACGGGAGAATAGTCAACACTATCCAGAGCCTCACTGGGAATCTAAATTACTGGAGCTGGGAACTGCTTGTTAAGAGCTTGTTGATGGAGGACCCTAGGCTTCTGAATATTAAGCATCAATCCCATTTTCTTGTATGGCTTGGAAAAGACATCAACACTTGCCTAAAGGTCTGCTTCCAAGTGAGTGCACACTGCAGCATCATCAGCATACTGAAGTTTGATGACTGAAGTTGAAGGGGAGGTCCTTGGTTTTGGCTCGGAGTCAGCCACAATTGAATTGGGTAGTTTAGCCCCGCTCTGATTGGAAGTTTGCTGGTGGTCAGATATAGCATTGCAATAAGGAATATCAAGAAGAGTGTTAGGAGGATGATGCAGCCTTGCTTAACTCCTCTCAACCTCAAAAGGGATCTGTGATAGATCCATTGCTGAGAACCACTGCTCACATACCATCACGGAGCAGGGAGAGAATGGTGATCAGTTTTTGTGGGCATCTGTACTTCAGAAGGATCCTCCACAGCGCTTATCAGTTGACAGTCAAAGGAGGCCACACAGAGAGGTTTGTGTTGTTCCCAGTATTTTTCCTGCAGCTGGTGAGCCGTGAAGATCATGTCAGTTGTGCCTTGTGATGCCCTAAATCCACACTGACACTGCAGGAGGACCTCTTCAACAAGTGGAAGGAGATGGTTCAGGAGGGTTCTCACAATGATCTTTCCTATTGAGGACAGCAAAGTGAGCCCCTTTGTAATTTCCACAGTCGGACTTGTCTGAGCTTTCTTGAAAGCTGTCACAATTGTGGCATGCCTGAGGTCATCTGGGATTTCCTCCTCATTCCAAATCCTCAAAATGAGGGCATGAAGCTGTGATATGAGCTCTTCCCCCTGCTTGAAGATTTCATCAGGGATTCCCTCAACTGCAGATGCCTTGTCATTCTTCATCTGCTTGATGGCTTTCCTCACCTCATCAAGCAACAGCGGGATTCCCTAATCATCTCTGACTTGGTGTTGTGGGATGGAGTTGAAAGCACTCTCATCAACAACAAAGTCTTGATTGAAAAGTTCGTCAATGTGCTCCTCCCAGCGGGTGCTGATGACTCCCATTTTCTTGATCAGGTGTCCGGGTCTCAAGGGCATTGGTCCCTAAGTGCTCAAATGGTAGATGGCCTTGGCATTGAAATAACTGTGCATAATAAGGTTAATCTCCAGATGCTCTCTATGGACACTTATAGACGTGCTCTGGGATTGTGGGGGGCACTTTAATTAGAGCAGCTGATTGCCAATCTAGTTAAAGCGCATCACGTATATATCAGCGTCCCCACACTGAAAAATGGTAGCAGGGGTGCTTTAACTAAAGCTGGTCGAATGAGTTAATTCAAGCACCACCGTTTTTCACTGTAGGGACACCAATACATGAGATGCTGGAGTCTGTTGGAGTGCAGTAATTACCACACTCCAGCAGACTCAGTTAATCAAGTCTGCTCTGATGAAGCTGTAATTACAGCATGTTGGAGCAGCCTCACTGCATGTGTATAGGCACCCTATGGCTTTAATAACAAAGCAATGCTATTCCAACCCAAAGCACTTTTAAAAGTGCATCATGCCTTCCTTGGCCATCAGCAGGACACCCAGCCTCACCTCACTATTCCAGGCACTCATCAGGTTTGACAGTCCCTGTTGGGGCATCTGCATAGGAAGGAGGAACAAAGGAGACCTCTGAAAATATCTAATTCCCTTCAGAAAAAGCTTCCATGTTTTCCAAAGCTCCTCCCAAAATCACCCTCTGAAAAAGAGGTGCTCAGCCCTCAGAGATCATTACATCTGGTGCCCTGTGTGCAGCCTGGTGTCTATTGCTGGTGCCTAGAGAGGCATGACCAACTCAGCTTTCCCTTGCCAGGGGCAATACTTACCCCCACCTTCACATGGTGAGACTTAATGCATTAACATCTATACAGTGCTCTGCAACACTCAAGATGAAAGATATGTACAATGCTAAACATACTGCAGAGTTTATTCCAGTATTAAATGAAGACAACTTAAAAATTATATATATATTGTTTCCAAGGTATCCAGGTTGTAGCCGTATTGTCTAGAGGAAAAAGCAATCAGGGCTCATGGTAGAGGTGATACCTTTTAACCAAGTAACTCACAAGGTAGTGCTTTCTGGTGATAGCCTTTTGGAAGGATACAGCTTGAGGAAAAAAGATAGAAGAACAAGATATAGAGAACTTGCTGCAACAAATATCAAAACACTGGGCTGGTGTTTATTGCTCCCAGGCATTGCATTTACATGGGCACCTCAGACCACAGCACATTGAGCTGGGTTGGAGCGACCCTGGCTGGCAGGTGTCTGGCTTAATGTGCTGCGAATGGTTTGGCTTGGCTAGCCAGCCCATAGCCCCCACACCAAAGCACCCTTGTGCCCTGGCCAGCCCCATCAGCATCTACACATGTTTCTGTGCAGTAAAAAAACTCTGCTGCAGAATAGTACTTGTATTTACAAGTGCTAACCTACAGCAGAGTTAGTTTACTATGACCTAATAGGGCCACAGGTGTAAATGCAGAGACATTACTGTGAAGCTAGTTAGGCAGCTCTGCAGTAAACGTCTCATCTCATGTAGGTGCGCCAGATGCACTCACTGACATGTCTGTGGCAGAAAAGGGAACAGGGAGACTAGACCTTAGAGACGGGCCACATTTCCCACTGCACATTTGCCTCTACAGTTAAGGATCTAGCAGTGAATCCCCCTAACAAGTGAAAACTCCTCCAGCTCTCCTGACTTCAGTGGTGCTCCCCTAGTTTATGCCACTTGATAGTCTGGTATCCTGCCTCCAATGACTGGTAAAGGAAGGAAGGTGTCACAGGAAAAGGATTCATTTGGATTGTTTCAGGGGAACAAAGCAACCTTGCATTAACCAACAAGGACAAAACACTGCTCTTGGGCACTGCTGCTTTCCAATGCAAGTGAGAGGACATGGATTAACACACATAAAATTTCAGGAAAAGCCATTTCATTCTAGAGATGACCTACATCTGTGTGTAGTACAGATGTGGCTCAGGCACCAGTACCCCAATCTCTGGGAAATAAACACACAAACACCCAGGTAGCCAGCAATCTGTTCCTTTCTGAAACAGGAAGCAGGAGTTGCCAGCTGCAGGCACCAAAGCAAAGCTCTAAAGATGCAGAGATAGGGAGACGTGTGATGATATGCAAACAAAAACCACATGCAACATGCTCTTTTCAGCCACATGGGCAGAACCCCACCAGCGGAGGGTTTCAGATCTCCGAACCAAGAGGAACACCTACTCATTGCTCTTCAAATGAGCAACTGCTTACCCAGAGTAGTGTCCCTGGTGCTGCACTGAGAAGGGCTGTGAAACTACAAGCGAGCGAGCAGGTTTCTAAAAACAGATCTTATTGTGCAGCATTGTGACAGGAAGTTAAACACACACAACACCCCTGCCCCCAGTCCTACAGATCCTGCAGTGTTTGCAACAGCTACATTGATTTCTGGCTAAAGCATGAAGTGCTGTCCCCTCTGCTCAGCAAGGGATCTCACCCGCAGTGAAGCTCCCTTTCGACATAAGCAGGTTCTGCTGTTCAGTGCTGCACATTAAACATCCCTTTAGCCTGGAGCTTCTTTCTGAGAGGAGACCACCTGCATGCTAAGCTCCAAACTACAGAGCACCATGAACAAGAACCTGTGTTATCTGGGAACATCCCCCAGCCTCCTCTCTATCTGCCTGAGTTTCTGGCATCCACATATCTTGTATGAGGACATATGCAAGGCAAGTAAAAGACTTTTTTCCCTGGTTGCTTCTCCAAAGCAAGGAAGAGACACAGCAAAGGAGACCCTATGGTCTAGGATCTCCTGCTCATGGAGAGAAAAAACAGGAAAAAAAAACAAAAACCTGAGCTCCCAACCATGTCTCAGAGGAAAAACACAGAGATCTGTGTAAAAAGGCAGGTCTGGTCAGGGGACCTGTTTATGATGAGGGCTGAATCGCTGCCAAATGTGGCCTGAAACCACTGCTACTGAAGCGCTAAATCAGCAATACTGAAGTGAGGCAGGAGGGTGAAGAGGAAAAGAAAACACATCACATACCCACAATCTATCCAGCTTATAGTGCCCCGTCCTTTCACCACCTGGGCCACATCGGACAGTAACCTGAGTGGGCTTTCGGCAGCAGCAGCTGAAAACAAACAACAGTATTAAACCAAGTGACAAGTGCAGCAGTTGCTGCCTTGGCTCTGAAGCACCAGAAAGACTTTTTCCAAATCTTGAGAGACCAGTGAGAGGAATCATTAAATCAGTTGAAGTTGACAGCAGCAAAGATCACTAGAGTCTTTTTTAAAAACACATGCTAAACATTCATACCTACAGGTATGCACCACTGCCTTATCTTCTGTATACTTATCCCTGTGTACTTTAGCAGTTCAGCCAAAATAATCAGCTCCCTCCCCCCTCCAACCTCTTTCTGCCTCTGGCTGTGCACTAACTGTTCTGCTTTGGAAACATGATCCTATACTTATGGCTCTAGCCTAGGACTTGGGGAATTAAGGGTACAAGTTTGTTCTACCACAGACACCATGTGTGATCCTGGGCAAGGCACTTAACCTCTGTGCGTCAATGTGTTATGGAGTTAATAGCACTTCACTGCCTCAAGCTGGCATTTGAAAGACAAATGCATTCAGAGCAGTGAGGTGCTCAAACACTATGGCATAAGGACCTTTGGGCCCCTCTAGACATTCAGGTAAAGGTGTAATAGGATCTAACATGCAATTCACATAACCTAGCCTCCTGCCATGCCACATGTGCATGCACCACTGCTTTAGACATTCTACTAGGGTCAACTACTGGTAGGTAGTTTTGTTCTAGAGGTCATTTCAATGGAGGCCAACTATCTTGGTTTAAAAAACATCAAATATAAAGCACAGCACAGGCAGCACAGCAGCAAATAAGGCAGGGAAGTCGACAGTGCGAGTGATGAGACATGGGCTGTAAAACCCAAGAAATTACCACCACCACCTCATTTTCTGAAAAGCACAAGGACAAGGGGCACCTCCACCCAATCTCCTGGCCAGTTCACTTTTAAAAACACATTTGTGTTTCACATAAGGCATTTACAAGGCAGCAGGCACTCTGGTATTCAAGACTATAACCAAATGTCATCTTTAGAGTGGAATTAGCTGTGCCAGGATGCATCCCAGGACAGCTGATCCACTTCATGGGCACCTATAGTCATCGCCCAGGCTGCTTTTCAACAGGGTTGGGCCCCTGCCATTCCTGTACCCTGTAGGCCTCACACAGGTCTCCCTGCTTGCAGACACGTACCCTAGGTTGGAGTACAGCAACAGAGATGTGTGAGCCACAGGAATCCCCTGAAGGGGATGTGCAATAAGCAAACAGATGTCTTCTCATGGAAGGCATCACAAACTGTGACTACCTTTGGTTGTGGCAACATTTTGGGGCACCTGGAGCATGGCAATGGGCTAAGATGTCCGTTTGCTTGCAACTTGTGCCACCAGAAAAGTGTTTATGCTGGCACAGGGCAACATCCGTTTGCACCCAAGGTATCAAGCAGCACCCTCTCTGCACAGTCCTCCAGCTCTGCAGGCCTAGTGAGTACAGATATGTGCATGGGTGTGCAGACACTTCCCCAGCTGCCCACATTACCACTCCAGAAACTATCCTAGACCTGATACTGGTTTTATGCAACTGGCATCTGCTCCACAAGTTAGGGCATTGTGCTGCTTTCCCAAGCATCAAATCCAGTATAACGAGGGATCTACCCAAGTCATGGTAAGCAAAAGGGAACCAATGTTGTGGCCTACCTCCCCCCTCCACTCCCTGGCAGGCTGCAGTGGCCATGAGGCCAGCAATTCAATTTTTAGTAAAGTTTTTTTTTTTTTTTTTTTTTTTTT